TCAATCAATACAAAAAATGAAGAACATGTGCTAGATATATAGCAAGCACTTCTCAAAAAACTAACTGAAGGAAATGTATCTCAAATATAAATAGTTCGACACCTTTATCTATAGTCTGGGACCATATTTATAAAATATCACGAAAAAATCCAATTTTATCAAGTACCTTTTATTACTCACAATACCAATTGAATAACAAAACTTAAGGAAATAGCCAATGGTTTTGCTACATATTTCGAAAAAACTCCAGCAATAGCAACTGTTCCGAAGAGTTTATACAAGACAAAATCGTCACAGAAAAACAACAGCTCAATTGTGAAGATGAAGATAATAGCCAATAGACCTTCCAACACGCCTTTAATCTTGGATGAACTTTTCGCCTAATACTTCTGGAACTGATACCACTACATACCTTCAGTATTTTTTGGAAAATTGCTAGATATTACTAAATGTATTCTTCTAAAAATGTATGATTAAATAATGTCTTTCCAACCTCCTGCAGACGGATTTCGAGAAAATCAAACTACTACTTATAATCTTAATGATTTAGAGAGTGCTTGAGTGTTTTGCAAAACAAACAGGAAACTATTACAGTGTTCATAGATATTACAAAAGCATTTGACACAGTATGGAGTTATGATATTATAAGATCACTACACACAGATAATATTATAATTTCCATTTAAAATTTTCTTAAACAACAAAATTTTCAAGAAACAGTTAAATAAGAGTCAACTACTGCACATCTTCAATGAGGCATCAAGCAAATGACACCGTTCAAGAGTGTGTAATAAGTGAAAATGCTATTTTTACTTGCCATGAATAATATTACATTATCCAACTTCAGCTTGGTTCGTGACAGATTATATCATCGAGCAAAAAGACAAAAGAGGGAATCTAATCCATATGAACAGGAGACCAAAAAAGGGGCCTCTGATGGCGGACATATCCGAAAATGTGAATGCGCCAAATTTAAATTTTCTGACACTAATTAACAGTAGCTATATAATATTTTTCAGAATGTATCTTAGAGAGAAAGTTTTAATTAATTATTAACGGTAATAGTCTAAAATGCGACACAATTGTTAAAAAACTTCAATATAAATAAGATTTCATGTGACATTTTGGACAAACAATAACATAACCAAACTAAATTTGATGTCAAACAAGGAGAGAGACTCTCTTTCCTTGTTATAAAATTGAAAATAAAAAATTTTCATTTTTCTTTCTTTTTCTTTTCCTTTTTTTTATTTTTGTTTTTGTCTTTGAACAACCTAAAATGGTATAAAATCCATTTAAAAATTGACATATTGTTACTGGTAAATTTTCTTTATATTTTGTTTCTATATATTTGACACTTTAGTAATGCAACAATACATTTAAATAGTTCCAAACTGGTAACATTGTTAAGCATACAACTGATATGATTAGGGCTAGCTAACCGGAATAGATCTTAGAGTAATTGTAGCTCTTTGGAGTCGAGATAACATAATTTAATTAATTGATACAATTGTGGTACTGCAACAGCGGGAAGTGCAGATAAAGGCAATTAATTGAGAATTTATTGCGAGAAATTAGTTAATACGTACAACTGCTATGCCACCCACAGGTCCTTTATTACATATTGTATATTTTGTATTAGATTATCCAAATATCCTGTGTATGCTTTTGCATAAAGTATGAACATTACGTAACCAATTCCGGGGCTTCTATTAAATATTTTATTGTAAGAGAAATTCCGTGTCAAAAATATGTATTAAAAGCTTTTAGTGTTGCTAAAAAATTGTATGTTCTTATAAAAATTGCATTTAAATTTTCGGTTTTTTTTTTTGCTTCTTCTGTGACATTTTTTCATTAGGAGTTCGGCGTTTTAACCCTCCACAGCATTCTATCCTCTATCAACTTCTCTGAGATCTCCCTTGATCATCGCACTTTCTATACGAGTATATGTTCTCCATATCAAAGTGTAACATAATTTTTTTCTAAAATATCAAATATTACATAAAATTTATTTGATAAGCCCCTGGCTGATGCTGTTTACTTTTAATTTTTTTTTTTGCTGAATCATCTAAAAACAAATATTATTGGCATAATTGTCGAATTTGACCTAGCCTTAAGCCATTTTAATTTTAAATAAGTTCCCACACTAATTTGAAGACCCAGCACCGCTAGGGTTTAATTTTCTGTAAAACGAGTCACAGAGGGGGGACCCTATTGGTCACAATTTTAGATCTGGTACATAAATGTACGATCTTGACACAAGAAGTCAGGGATGAACAATGGCAGCGACTTAGTAGTATGATTTGTTTTTCGAGAGAGTTTTAAAAAACCGGCAAAAGTTTTCCTTACCTTCATGAATTTTTAGTATTGTTCTGAAGCTATTTTCTTGTGAAATTTTACAGTAATTACTATTTAAATGGCAATAAGCCACAATTAAAGGTTAAAGTACGTTTATTGACGTTTCAATTTCCACTTCGGAAATCGTTCTCAAAATACAAACAGTAAATTAAACAAATTTTGTTTTTTTGTTACTTAGTGAAAAATTCTTCTAACAATTTAATTTTATCTGACTCATTTATAGTGACAATTCAGACATATATTATACATTTTAAAGTAGACGACTTTAAAGTGATATTGCCAATATTGTTGGGTTGCGCTCTAGGGACGACTTTACTTATAAGATAGTTTATATAGTTTACATATAAAATCAGAATTTAATGTTTATTGACAGTAAACTAAATGCACGACCAAATACTTACCATGTCGGGATAGTATTATGAGGTTTTTTTCTTGGTTTTTCCCTAATAATTTACTATGGAATCACTAACAGGAGAATTTTACTGTCATCATAGCATGTGTTTGTCTTTTTAAAGACGAATTACATGCTATGATTTTGTCTGACGGATATTCTCAAGTTAAAGTTGATTTCATATAATCGAATAAACTATCTTGTAAGTAAAGTCGTCCCAGGAGTGCAACTCAACAATATTAGCAATATCATTTTAAAGTCTACTTTAAAATGTATAATGTATGTCTGAATTGTCAATATAAATGAGTCAGATAAAATTAAATTGTTAGAAGAATTTTTCACTAAGTAACAAAAAAACAAAATTTGTTTAATTTACTAATGTGTGTATTTTGAGAACGATTTCCGAAGTGGAAATTGAAACGTCAATAAACGTAGCAAGTTATGAGGGAAAAACCAGGAAAAAAACCCATAATACCATCCCGTATTTGGTCGTGCATTTAGTTTACTTTCAATAAACACCAAATTCTGATTGTATATGTAAACTATATGAACTATCTTATAAGTAAAGTCGTCCCAGGAGCGCAACTCAACAACATTGGCAATATATCATTTTAAAGTCGTCAACTTTAAGAGTTTGTCTGATTTGATTTGATTAATTCTTTTATGTATGTTAAAAACAGTCATATTTTGGTAAATTTCATTATATTAAATTGAATATTTTGTTTTAGATGATTTTCACTTGCTGTTTTATTATTATTGCTTTTTCTATATTCTCATATTTCTGATTATTGTTATAGCTACTACTCAGCTCTTGGGCATTATGTAAATTTCTAGAAAAAGTTTTTACACTATTCCTTTGTTTATGTTTCCCTTAATCTCTTGTATCAATTCAACATTGTGTGGGTTTTTAAATCAGCTTCAATTTGGTTCGTAATGTGACTAATATAAGGTTATGGACTGAACCGATATCTTTTTTGAACAAAGTCAATTTAATTTTTGATTATTCTATTCGTTTTATCTCCAGAAGATTTCGATCTATATAATTTTTTTTTTGTAGTTTAAAAAGTGTATTTGCTATTACAAATTCTTTCATCTCGCAGAATTTTATTAAATGGTCACCACGTTCATTTGTATTTCCTAAACCATATTTACCCACATATCCATCCACTCTTCCCTGGCCAACTTTGGCATTGAAGTTATCTATTACCTCTGTAGTGTGATGTTTCTTTATTTACTTGTTCTAAATCATTATCCGAATCAAGACTTTTTCCAAATCTTGGTAAAATAGGTTAATTTCGTCCTATTCTTTATTTTTTATTTAGTATAATTAATAAAATTTATTATACTTTTCTCAGAATGAAGATGTAATATTAAGATTATATATCATAATAAGAAGTAACACCACAGATAGTAGATGCAACTAAGATGGCAACACCATAGCGATGATTGATCTCGTTGTCAATTGAATAATACATGGTTCCGATATTTGTAATTTGTTTGCCTTAACCTGGCCAATGTACGTTACTTGTACATTTCAAAGAGTATGTTTACTAGTTAACCACATGCATATAGACTTCTGACATTCCAGGTTGCTACTTTTAATGTCTTAAATGCACAAGGATTCCTCTGATTTACAACTTGTGAGTCCCTGTGGTCTACAGTTATTTTTCCCTTACCGAATCTTGGATTCCGTGGTCCATAATCAGTAAGCTTGTTTTTCTTTTTGTCATGTGCCATTCATGACTTAGACAGAGATTAATTTTAGATGTACCAACGTAGCTAGATACTTTAACGACTTAATAAGAGATGTTAAGTGTATAAAAATAAACTTTAAAATATTTAATACTGCAAAGAACGAAAAAGGTTCGAGAGGGCACAAGTAACTCCGGACAGTATTAATAAAGTACAAAATTATGAGGCTATTAATATATTATAATATAATAATATAGATAATTAGATACTTAATTTGACAAGTTGCTTATAATTTGATTTTAAAACGATTAATATTTCAAATTAAAACGTTCCTAGGACTGTATAAACAAAATCTGGATAAGTTTGGATAAAAATTAAAAGGTATTTAAAATTATCTAAGGTTTCGATAGAACTAAACAGAAGTATAAAGGCTGAACTTATTTGTGTTAGGATCGACAATCGCTAAAATTTAGCTGTTGAGGTGGGTGCGAAGCTTGTCGCGATCCGTAACCGTTACAAATATTTTATAAATACGTTACTTATTTGAATTAGAAGAAAGATGGCGGATGGTAAGGTAGATGAAGATAGTAAAAGAAAAAGTAAAGAGGAGCTAGACATATTTAGCAGGAGTAGGAAAGTGAACCGAACACCAGACAGGTCGAATCCATCAACGAATGAAGCCAGCAGCAATAACGAAATGATGGAACTAATGAGACAACTAGTAAGCGACAATAAAAAGAAAAACAAGGACCTAGAAGATATAAAAAATACAATGGGCAATATGACTGAGGAACTAAAAGAAATTAGGAAGGAAAATAGTGAATACAAATTGCAAATGAAAGAAATAATAAGAGAAAATGAAAATCTAAAGCAAGAAATGGCTACGATGAAACAAAAGATAGATAAAATAGAAATAACCTTGGAAGCATGTCAGAAAGAAAAGAAGAAAATAACAATAATGAAGGCTTACCAATAGACACAATAGACGCAGAGCAACTAGAGAACTTATAGAAACAAAAATAGGAGTAAAATCAGAAATAAATAGGGTACAAAAAATAAATGAAACAATGTGTGTTATCGAATGTAAAAAATTCGAAGATAAAATGAAAATACTGAAAGCCAAGGGTAAACTAATGAACTATAAGCAACATAAAGTATATATAGAAAGTGATCTAACATTAAAAGAGTTAGAAATACAAAGAAACCTTAGGAAGATAGCAGCAGATGAAAAGACTAATGGGAAAAGGACAAAAATTGGATATGGTTTCATAGTTATTGAAGGCATTAAGTGGAAATGGAATCAAAAAACAAGCCGGATAGAAAAAGTAACATACAATACTGAACCAACTTGTTCAAAAAACTAGCTGAAGAAAACACAATGACGGACCGAGAAACAAAACAGGCACAGAACATGGACATGAGCAGACTTAAAGATAACAACACAAACGGAAAGAAAAACAAATTGAAGTATAACTTAAACACAGAAAAGAACAAAACAACTTTGAAAATGGCATCATGGAATGTAAGAGGTATAAATGGGAAGGAAATAGAACTGGGGAAGAAATTAGAGATAACAACATTGAAATAGTAGCTATAACCGAGACAAAGAAAAAAGGAAGAGGATCAATAATATTAGAAAACGGAATGTTACTAATATACAGTGGAGTGGAAGAAACGAAGAGAGCTCAGGCAGGGGTAGCGTGCATGATAAAGAAGGACAGTATCAACAAAGTAAAAAATTGGATATATTACAACGAACGTATACTAAGAGTAGACATAGATATGGATACAGAGGAAACCAATACAAACCTAATAATATGCTATGGACCAGATGAAGACGCAACAAAAAACGAAAAGAATGAGTTCTGGGACAAATTACAAGAAGTGATAAATGATTGTACAGAGAAAATTGTGATCACAGGAGACATGAACAGTAGAGTGGGAAAAGAAGCAGAAAAATGGAACAATGTCATCGGACCTTATGGGGAGGCAAAAATAAACAAAAATGGAAAATTACTACTCGAATTCTGTCTAGACAATAACCTGGTGATTATGAACACACACTTCCAACATAAAAAGATACACAAGATCACAAGAGAAGTCAAATCAAGAGATGAACAATCAATTATAGACTATACTATAGTGCAAAAAACAGAGAAGAACTGGATAAGAGACGTAAGGGTGAAAAGGAGTTATGAAATTGGTAGTGACCACTATCTACTAGAAACCACATTCAAATGCAAAAAAAGAAATAAAAGAAATGAGAACATAAACAAAAAACACAAAGAAATAATAAAAATTTATAAACTAAGGGAAGAAACAACGAAGATAAGATACTCAGAAGGGCTAGAGAAAGTGATGGACAATGAACATGAAATAACAGAAACAATAGAAGAAGAATGGGAAAATTTAAAAATGCGATGATAAAAACAGCTAAATCAATATGTGGAACTACAAGAAATAACAATAGAGGGAGACGTACATCTTGGTGGAACGAAGAAGTGAAAAGAGAAATAAAAGAAAAAAAGAAGTTATGGAAAGAATACATAAAAGACAAAACACAACCAAAATATGAAAAGACAGATAAGAGACAAAGAACAAAAGTTAAAGAGATAGTTAAGAAAGAGAAAAAAGAAAAGTTGGGAAAAATTCGGAGAAAAAATGGAAGAAAACAGCACAGAAAACGTAAAATTATTTTATAGAACACTGAAAACCCTAAGAAGCAACAAAGAAACGAAACTAAAACAAATAACGAACAAGGAAGGAACAATAATAAAAGACGATAAGACAATAATGGAAAGATGGAGGGAACACTTCCAGCTGATACTGAATGGAAATCAAGCGAATACAATGGAGAAGGAAAGCCACATCAAGAGAGTATTCATGAGAAACATGGAAAATCCAGAAACTATAGAAAAAGAAGAACTGGAAGAAGCAATAAGAAAGATAAAGATTGGAAAAGCACCAGGAAGCGATGAAGTAGCACCAGAAATAATGAAATATATATGAGTAAAAGCAAAAGAAAAAATGTTATACATATATAACCTAATATGGAAGAAAAACGTAATACCCAGAGAATGGACAAATGCAGTAATTATACCTATATACAAGAAAGGAAACACAAGAGACTGTAAGACCATATATTCACCATGCAACAAGTAATAGAAAAAGCCTTAAAGAAAAATAGAGAAATATATCTGAGCTTTATAGACATGAAAAAAGCATTCGACTTAGTCAAAAGAAAAGATATATGGGAAAGCCTAAAGAAGAAGCAAGTAAGTGAAGAACTGATAGAAGCAACAAAGAGTATATACATGAAAACAACAAACACAGTAAGAATGTCATATATGCAGTCAGAACCATTTGAAACAACTCAAGCAGTAAAGAATGTAAGAAAACGTTCAAGAAATACTGCATCGGTTGAAACAGAATGCAAATGATAAACGCTGAGATGTGTATATTTGCAGACGACATAGTATTAAATGCGGAAACAGCAGAAAAGCTGAAATACAACTTAGAGAAATGGAACCTAGAAGCAAGCAAATACAACTTAAACGAGGGACGGAAGATCAACTAGAAATAATGATAGACCAACAAAAAATAATACAGACAACTTCATACAAATACTTAGGAACAGTAATCAACAACAAAGGAGACATCGAGGACGATCTTAACAACAGAATGGAAAACAGGAAAACTATTCCAAGCACTAAATAGAGGATTCCTTTATAACAAAGCAATATCGACAAAGACCAAGATGACAATATACAAAACAATATATAGACCTACTATAACATATGAAGCAGAAAATTGGATACTAAACAAAAGGAATCAAAGCAGAATTCAGGCAGCAGAAATGAAATACCTCAGAAGAACGATCGGAGTAAAAAGAACTGGTAGAATCAGAAATGAAGAAATAAGAGTAAGACTAAAAATCAAAACGATTCTCAAATCAATCAAGGAGAAAAAATTGGCATGGTTAGGACATCTAATATGGATGGACAATAATAGACAAGCAAAAAGAGTGTGGGACGCCAAATCAATAGGGAAGAACAGAAGAGGAAGACCCATTAAAGAATGGAACAGTGACATCTTGAAGATACTGCAGAGTAAGGGTAAGACTTGGCAGGAAGCAAAAGATTGTAAAATATTGTAATATAAAGAATTGTATTAAAAACGGCTCAACACAGAAAGGTACAAATGGGTTTTATTGATTAAGTAAGTAAAATTATCTATCGCATAAGCTATATTAAAAAATATGTCAGATAACACAATAACTTTTATACAGATGAAGTAGGAGATCTCTTTTTGTAAAAATCAACAATATTCAAACATTAATTTCCTAAAATAAAACAAATTAATAGATTCTAAAAAAAGTCAATAATAACAGAAATCTTTCCAAAACCATAAAGAACAGGAACTCGTGATAAAGTTAGGCACTTACGGCAATAATCGTTTACTATCAAGTATAAATGCAATTATTTTATAAAAAGAGAGTAAGACTAATCCAATTTAGCAGTTCAGGTGCCAGATTTAGGTTGCAGTGGGAGTTCTGTCGATCAATGAACAGAAAATTGGAAGTTGTAGTTGGCGGATAAGAAAACTCAAAAAAGGAAATGAAGAATTTTCATCTAAAAATAAATATGGCACATATAACCCATTTAAAAACTATTTTTGAAATATATAAAGAAATTGTGTAATATTATTCGAATGGTCTATTATAATTTACAAATTCTTTATTAAACTAAATTTTTCAATTAGACATACAGCATACAGATCAATTAAACTTTGGCAGTTGCTACAGTTCAATATTTAATATTTAATGTTAAGTACGGATTCTATGTTTGACCAGCAAGCGAGTAAGACGTGTTTTAGGCACTAATTTATCGTGCTCGTTAAATAGTAATTATTGAAGTATATTTAAAAGTAATTAAGTATAAAAGTGAAAGTGATTTGTATACTGAATATTGGAATCGTGAGTAGATAATATATACTTTTTTCATCTATTTGGATTTATATATTTAAGTAAACAACTGCAACTAGTTATAAATATTATCCAATTTCTATGAACTGGTATAACAACGAAAGCTGTAAAACAGCACCGGTTTTAGTCGGATTTTAAATCCATTTAAAAGATGTCATCTTCCAGTCAACTACCACAAAATGCATCATACTCAAAAGCAGTTAGTCAACCACGTAGTATATTAATCCCAGGCAGAGATGAAGCTATTTTATTTAACACTCTAGAAAATTGTACAATTAATGACTATCTTGAAGGATTGAGTCAGCATATAGAACCGAAAAATATAATTTTTGCATCCCGTATATCAAACGGTAGAATATGCATATATCTATCATCCAAAAACCTAGTAGATAAATTCATAGCAGAAACAAAAAAGATAATAGTAAATGGAAATATACTAGAAGCGAGAAGATTAATAACTCCATCAGTCCGCTTAATTCTGTCCAATGCATGTCCAAGCATACCTTCTAACTTAATAATGGACGAATTAATAAAACTAGGTTTAAATCCCTCTCAGACATATCATACCTACGGATAGGAGCAACCAATCCTGCCTTTAGTCATATTCTAAGCTTTCGAAGACAAATTTTCGTTTCACCTTTTCCAGACAACTTTGTACTACCTGAATCTTTTATTATCGAATTGGAACAAACATCATACCGCATATTTATAGCCCAAAACGAAAATTGTTTCAAATGCAAATTAATTGGACACCATGCAACTAATTGTCCAAATATTTCACCTTCTAACCATTCTCACAATGATAGTGCAATACAAACAGAAATGAGACAAAATTCATCAATAAATCATACTCAACAAGATAATTCACAAAATACTCCAGCAATCTCAAATATCACTCCCTCCACACTTACTACGTCTTCTCAAACCACATTACAAACAGTAGCAATCCCAAATTTATCAACAAACCAAACCCAACAGTGCTCACTACAAAA